AAGCAAACACATTCAGATCAGCTGAAATCATCTCAGTATTCTCATTGTTCACACATCTAAAACTTATATAGTGAAACACAACTTATAGTAAAACACATAAAATCATTCTATTCCCAACAATAGTCATGAAAATAAAGAAAACGCATTGAATGAGAAGGTGTGTCCAAACTTTTGGCCTGTACTGTAGATGTATTGAATTCAGTAAAAAGGCTTAATGTCAAATACTCAACAATACTGTAATTTCAGAGTTCTTCATCTGATGTGGAGAGACCAGCTTGTCTGAGCTTGGCCTTTAGGAGGCGGATCTCAGGTCTGGCCTTGGTTTGCTGTAGTTTGGTGAGAGTCAGTTGTTCCTCTGCCAGACGAATCTGTACTTCTGCCCTTTCAGTCTCTTTTTGCAGAAGTACCTTGTAATCATTATCTTTGTGAGATGAAGGACGCTTCAAGCCTTTCCTCTGAGATCCTGTGGCAACTACTGCTGGCTCTACCAGTGAGGATCCAGCTTCTTCCTCAGTAACAGAGCTGAGATTCAAAATAAATGTGCTCTCTGGATCAGCCTCAGGAGGAACTGGCTGACTCTCCTCCTCAATCCCAGGCTCGCCATCCCCAACACCTTGAATACCATGCAGAGCTTGCGACTTCTCACCTCAAATGATGTCGAGGACCACATCTGTGTAATCTCCCCTCTTAAAGGGCTTGTTGCCTGTTTGTGGGTTTTTGGCTTCAGCATGGTCCTTTGTTGCCCTGGCCTTAAGATTCTTCCATCAAAATTTTATTTGGTCTGTGGTCCTCCTCTGGCCAGACCCTCTGGCATTCACATTTTTGGTGATTAAAATCCAAATATCATTTTTCTTTTTGTTGGTATCTCCACCCTTAGCAGAATTAAAACTTCCCACTATTGTGTCATAATGGCACCTAACACCCTCTAGCAGTGCGTTGGTTTCGGCAGCAGTGAAATTACAGCTTCTTGAGTCCATGGTTCCATTGCTTTACTATAGTGAACACTGTTCATCATTTATAGGCCTTGGGTCCGATTGCCTCAATTGAACACAAGCCAGAACTAATCAGTCCACAACGGGTGTGTTTGAAAAGACCAATTACACAGCCATGTAAATCAGCCTTTCTCAGAGGATTCACAGAGAGGGTCACAGAGAGACAGTGAAATGGCAGGTGTTGTCCACCGCCACCACCACTTTGCCAGGAGAGGATACCATCAAAGGGTGTATGTTGAGCGTACCAAACCACTGGAGCAATACACCACTGAGGAGCTGTATGCCCGGTTTCGCTTTGGGAAGGCTGATATCGAGTACCTTATGAACCTTCTCCGGCCAAAACTACAACACAGAACCCAAAGGAGTCACGGTCTGTCTGTGGAAGACCAGGTCCTCATCGCTCTCCGATTTTATGCATGTGGGACTTTCTACCAAGTTGTTGGTGACTATATGGGAGTGGCGAAATCAGCTGTCTGTGATGTGGTGAAAGATGTGTCAATCGCACTGGCCAGCCTGGTCAGTGAATTTGTTTCTTTTCCAAAGGACAACCAGATTGCCCAGGCCAAGCGCAGCTTTTTTCTTTTGGGGAATATGCCCAATACTATTGGAGCAATCGACTGCACGCATGTGCATATACAAGCACCTCGTGAGAATGAATGGGAGTTCATAAACAGAAAGGGGAGGCACAGCATCAATGTCCAACTTGTGTGTGATGCTGACCTCATCATCACCAACTGCGATGTCAAGTGGCCTGGGTCTGTCCATGATGCACGCATCCTGAGGGAGAGAGCTCTATATAGAGACCTCAAAACCAACAGACCAGATGGCATAATATTAGGAGACAGTGCCTACCCACTCCTACCATGGCTGATGACCCCTTTTCTGACAGCAAATACACCGGCGCAGGCACGCTTCAACACCGCTCATTGCAGAGCAAGATGTGCAATTGAGCGTTTAAATGGAGTTCTTAAGAGGCGCTTTGCATGCCTTAACTACCTGAGAGCGGAACCACAGAAAGCATGCAACAAAACCCTTGCCTGTATTGTCCTGCACAACATCACTGCCAAATGCAATGTCCCTCTCTGTGGTGACAATGATGCACCTGAGCCCCTTGGAGACCCTGACCAACCTCCTGCATTCTGCCAGAACGAGCAACAAGGGACGCAATAGTTAGACACTATTTCTGATTTGGATTTGTTTTGGATTTCAAAAACCAGTGATGCCATTGCCATTGCTTTGTTATTCTGTTTTATCATTGCATGCATCACTAAAAAATAATATAAAAACAAAACAAAAATATTTTTGATTGTGATGAATATACATTAATTAGTGACAGAATTAAATATATTATTTGTGGTCAATATTGACAGCTGTTTGGGGGATTATTTTATGAGGCCAAAATCTTTCTACTTTGCTGTAGGCCTATACTGAAAGGCTGAATACGTTATAGCCTACCTAATCACTGTAGCCTGACGGATGAACAAATCAAATTAAAACCTTATGAATAAATAGGATATCTTGTAGGCTATACTGCATGATCCAAATATAGTATTATTTGATACAATTTTAAAGTTTCATTACATTTTGGGCCTGAAATCCACGCTGAATCCACCCTTCTGATGGGATCAGTTTAATCCAGATTTTTTGGATCAAAGTGATCCCAATCCTACTAAAAAGTTCTGAAAAACCCAAACTAAAGGTTTGAACCGGATCAAAACCAAAATTGGATTACGTGAACTAATCCGATTACGTAATCCATTTTTTCTTTTGAAAAACCCATTTTCAAGATTTGATCCAATCCGTTATCCAAAATCCGAGCGGATTACTTTTGAAAAACCGGGCCCATTAAAACCGCTACAAACACAGGATGAAGCAGTTTAACATTCCAAATCAGTGTAACAACACTGATTATAAAATGGGTTGATCCAAGCCTTGATTGTGATTGGCTGGAAGCCGTTGTAAAACCACTATAACCATACACCTGTGACCGCATCACCGTATTACTCCGCCTACTTAATTGTTAAACCATTTGCAGCTGTTACCTGTTTTGTTACCTATCACAGTGTCGGACTTTGTTGTGAATTTTGATTTACTGGGTGGATTAAGCATGGATGAGTGGCTGGAGGAGATGGACGGGATCGAGAGGGAAGAGAAAAAAGAAAGGAGACACGCTGAAATAAATGAAAGAGAGATTGAAGAGCTGGAAAAGGCAAGAAGTGGAGCTGGGACCGTTAAACAGACTCTGTGGTCAGTTCGCTGTTTTCAGACCTGGTGTGCCGAGAAGGAGGTGGCTATTGATTTTAAAACGGTCACCAAGATTGAGCTAAACCAGGTTCTCCGACAGTTTTATGCCACTGTGAAAAACGGGAAAGGTGAAGCTTACGGTTTCAGCAGTTATGTTGGCCTTCGAGCGGGGCTTAACCGTCACATTAATGATCCGCCCATCAGTCGATCCTGGTATCTGATGAACGATACCGAGGCTGCGTTCGGAAAGTCTTTTTTGCTTAGGAAGGTTCCTAGCTGAGTGAAATGACCTGGAAGTATTTTAGCGGCCGTCATGATAAGAGCTGTTCGAATTCTCTAAACACTAAGGAAAGGAGGTTCAATGCTTCCTTTCAGATCTCCTTTAGCATAGGATACATCGGACCTTCCTAAGCGATAAGAAAGGAGATAATTCCATCCCACAAGTCACTGCAGCGGCAATATTTACGCACAATTCACAAACTCAAATGATTAGTAAAGAAAAAGATCAACATGACCGAGAAAGGAAGGAGATCACCATCTAAGTTACTGCTGTTTATGAAGCATTATACATCTCATGCCATAACTTGTTCATTTTTTCAACTTTCAACATTATGTTAAACTTAGATGCGAACTATGAACGTTTCGCTACTATTGGTGTACCCTCCGTCCACAGCTTTGTTTAGCTTGTTTTGTAACAGGATAAACAAATATACAATGCATCATTTTAATTTTCCGATTTTCGTGTGAATGAGGAAAAAAGGAAATCCACGTGCTTTTCCCATTTTCGTCTTCAAATGGCTAATTGATAGCCTATAGAAATTAAACCAAAACCAGAAACCTACTTGTTTTTCGCCTTTATTGTTATATCTATATTATCTGCCCCTACTGCATCTCAAAACATTGGCATCGGCTATGCTTATGGCCTAGATAGATAGATAGATAGATAGATAGATTCAAGAGTATTATCTAGACCTGCACTATGTGTAAAGTGCCCTGAGATGACTTTTGTTGTGATTTGGCCCTATATAAATAAAATTGAATCTAAAAAAAATAGATAGATAATCAATTAAGTAACGTTGCTGTGCCTCGTGCGTAAATGCGCATATACTCGGCGTATCTGGAGATTTAAATAATCAATGAAGTTACTGCTTCCCACTTTTTATTCCCCTGTACAGTGTTTCCCTGCAGAGCTACGGTGGAAGGATCATAACAAAAAATACAAAAGACTGTAACGTTAAAAGGTATCTGCCTGAGGTTATTAAATACCTGCAGCGAGCACCCCACCCCACCCCCTACCCCGCAGCAAAAACAATAAGCGCGTTGCCCCATAAAGAGAGACGCTGTGCGCATTTACGCACGAGGCACAGCAGCGTCCCTTTTATTATTAATATTATTATTATTTATTATTTATCTGTCTATCTATGCAGTAGGGGCACATAATATTGATTTAACAATAAAGGCCAAACACAAGTTAATTACTGGTTGTGGTCTTATGTCGCCTCCAATTGCCCATTTGAAGAAGAAAATGGAAAAAGTACGTGGATTTCCATTATTTTTTTTATTCACACGGAAAAACAAAATAATGCATTTAATATTTGTTTATCCTGTTATAAAACAAACAAGCTGAACACAGCTGTGGACGGAGGGGACACGCACCGTAACATATGCTCAGTTTGCATCAGTCATTTATTCATTTGAGCGTTGTTGTATTGCCAGCCTTTAGTAATATCATTAATTTATTTTACTGCTTGGGATTCAGATGGGTGAGTGTGAGCAAACATTCTCAATGCGACAATTTCGTTTCAGTTTATGGCTGGTAGCCTATATTCATTTTTTTAATTCAATTCCAACCTTAGTAATTAAACAATATCTTTCACCGTGTTGTCCACGTTTATATATCCTGCATGAAACAACACGATAAGAACGTACGCCCCATATGTTCTCATCGTGTGCATTTTGTAGTCCATCTTCAGAACACTGTAGTTTAACCACAGCAGACCCACGTCAATAATATCCGCCGTCGCATGATGACGTAGCCCAGCGTAAGCGCGGTCGGATTTTCTCAGCTCCGCGGTTCTCTTTTCCTAAGTCCTTATGAATTCTCCTACTCATCTTTCCTTGACCTCGTGACGTTTCCCACCGAGGTCAAGGAATAGTGATTAGGAATAGACAATAGGAGGGACTTTCCGACCGCAGCCCGAGTTCACCACCAGGAACAACGTCTTCATTGGAGCAGTGAAGAAACTTCACCGAGAAGGTCACGACAAAACATCCCACCACCAAGTGTTAACACAGGCCGACTTTCAGAAAATCAAGCTCTCTCGGGCACTGAATCCAAACATACCTGGGGGTCTTGTCAACAAAGTTTGGTTTGATGTGCAGTTGCATATGGGACACAGAGCTAAGGAGGGCAACCGCCAAATGAAGCCTGACTCATTTATCATCCGACAGGACCAAAACGGTCAGAAATATGCAACGCTGTCATTTAATGAATGCACCAAAAACCACCAGGATGCCGGCGAATGAAACAAAGAGTCTGCAGGGATTTATGTTCGAGCAGCCAGGGAACCCACTGTGTCCTGTCGCTTCACTAGCTATGTTTCCATCCAAAAGTGATTCGAATCATTGGGAAATGCGCATTAAAAGAAATACAAATCCTGTGTGTTTCCATTAAATGTACGGACTTTGGTAAAAACTACAAACTCGTGCGAGTTTTCCGCAGAACCGGACACAAAACAAATCTCGCATTCTTCTTCTTCTACGTTTTCGGGCGGTTGGTAACCAGCTTGTAAATGCATTACCGCCTTCCCGACCCGGAGTGTGGATACCACCATGGAGAGAGGTGCGCTACGTCAGACTTAATTCGAACATAACAGTTTCCATCCCCCGTTTTGCGAATCAGCATTTATTCAAATCAACCAAAACCCGCTAAAGTGAGCTTATTTTAGTTTGTGCGAATCAGGGGATTTTAATTCGAATTTGGCGTTTCCATCATAATTTTCCGATGCGATACTTCTAGATGCGCATCGAAACAGGCTGATGGAAACATGGCTACTGGAGAAATATCTGTCACTGCTGCCACCCAATCCACCGGCCTTTTATCTCCATCCAAAGTGGAGAAACTACACCGACGATGTATGGTAAGTTAACATGTAATGTCTGTTTGTTTTGTTGCAGTGTAGCTTAGTTACTTTGAAACGTTTAGGGGACTTATTTTTTTCTCTCTTAACGGTTAGGTATACTAGAGAGCCCATGGGGGTGAACTTTCTCGGCTCCATGTTGCCACGGATCTGTAAAGCAGCCGGTGTTGTATCGAGCTCTGTTTCCTCGTCGAGATTTGTTTCCCCTGGTCCCGCCCCCATCCGAAATGGCCCGAAGGGCGAAGGAAGCGCGCGTTCACAAAAAGCTCGAGCTGTTGTGCTCATACCACAGAGGCACTGTGGTACGAGCGAGTTTTATCTGAAGATGTTGTATTGTAGAAGTGAAATCCAAATTTCATGACTGTCTAGTTATATTTTTAAACTGGGACAACAGCACGTTTTTGTTTTTATGTCTTTATTAACACAACCAACTACTGTTATTTCTATCAATAAAAAATATTATATTTGTGAGAGACTTTTCATTTCGATTATGATGGACTTTTGGAAGAAAGTATGCTCATTCATTTATAGGCTAAATATAAATCGCTATTTTATCATATTTGTCTTCAATCAATCAATCAATTTTATTTATAAAGCCCAATATCACAAATCACAATTTGCCTCACAGGGCTTTACAGCATACGACATCCCTCTGTCCTTATGACCCTCGCAGCGGATAAGGAAAAAAAATCCAGCTCCATTACAGCAGGGGGAACGCATCCTGACAGCTTGGAATATTACTATCACATACTGTTCCCCCTCTGTTCAATATGAAAGGAGGCTCAGACAAGCATTAAAGACTTTAATAACATTAAACAAAAAATAAACTTACTTTTTATAATGTAGAATTATTATTCAATTCAATAAATACAAAATTAAATGACAAAATGTGCAATATTTAACACATCAACAAAAACATTAAAATAATTTAAAAAATGAAACATTCAAAATCAAGGAAAAATAAACTGTAAATAGAACATTTCTTATTGATACATGAACTTCCTAAGAAGTAAGTTCCTTTGCCTCAGCATGCTGCACACACAAATTTGTCCTCGATCTTTGGCCTTCCAACACATGCATGGTGGAACCACCGTCCACAGGCATCACAGGATATCTGTAGTGCAAAAGCATTTGAACACTGCATGAAATATTTAAAGAAAACTTGGAAAATAGATACAAACACAGGACCACATTCTATACATAAAATATAATACCCATGTCAGCTCTGCCTCTTCACTGTCATCTGCATTTTCCTCCCCACAGTTGAGGCAAAGGTTTGTCAGATTGTCTGTCAGAAAAATGGAAAAGTATTTGAAAGAGGGCAACATTTGTGAGGACAAGATGATTTCTTTTGAGTCTGATCCCCGGCAATTGTATTTTTTGTAAAAAACTAAAAAAAAAAAAAAAAAGTCCATAATATTCAAAAAGTCTCTCACAAATATATTATTTTTTTATCAATAGAAATAACAGTAGTTGGTTGTGTTAATAAAGACATAAAAACAAAAACATATGTGTAACCCTTTTAGAAGGAAAGGGAATGGAAAATGGGGTAGTGTCTAGATTCAATGGCAAGTGAAGCAGAAGTTCTAAGATCGACTATGGAGCCCAGGATTGGTCAAACGATGACACAGGAACAAGTCAAACACAGGACTATCTTTAAGAAACAATGACGCTTCCCTATTTATTACAGGATGGGAAGGACTGATAAAACACAGTAATTGCACAGAATATCACAACTCTTACCCGGGTAAGTACAGAAAATAAAAAAATAAAATAAAGTTTTGCACCTGCTTGTTTTTTCTAAAGTTCAGTTCACCTTTTTTCAGTCAACACCATAAAGGTGGAAAATCACTCCCACCACACTGTTGTGTGGGTGGTGTGTGTGTATGTATAAAAGTGTAAAAGGATTCAGGTTCCGCGGCGTCGTATCTCTACGTATCCTCTGGGGTCTGGCTCGCCATCAAACTTCGACTGGCTCCAATATCCAGGTAGGTCCAACTTTCAATGGGTCTATCAGAAAACCTGACCTACGATAAGTAAGATCAGAACATTCATTTTAATTTTTTCAGATCTCAAAAATGAATTATAGTACATACAGTACAGGCCAAAAGTTTGGACACACCTTCTCATTCAATGCGTTTTCTTTATTTTCATGACTATTTACATTGTAGATTCTCACTGAAGGCATCAAAACTATGAATGAACACATGTGGAGTTATGTACTTAACAAAAAAAGGTGAAATAACTGAAAACATGTTTTATATTCTAGTTTCTTCAAAATAGCCACCCTTTGCTCTGATTACTGCTTTGCACACTCTTGGCATTCTCTCCATGAGCTTCAAGAGGTAGTCACCTGAAATGGTTT